CTGCTTCGCCCTGCTCGCTGGTGTTTTCCGTATTGTTTTCTACAAGCGCGCCAGTGGTGCTCGAGATTGACTTCTGAGATACATTATGAATTTTAGAAAGTCGTTACTAAATGGTTTTTAGACTTTCCCAATGCCCTACCGCCGTATGATTGGAAGAAATTCTTGGATATCGAGCATTTTTGTACTATGTCTCTTGTCCCCTAGCAACGTGACAAATAGTTGAACATTTCCATTTGGAAGACTACCAAGAACTGAGCTTACGCCACAGTACAGTCCGCAACACTGCTCTAGTTAATCTCCTGGCAAAATACTGTAAGAAATAGAGAACACTAAGAGCACGATAGTCTTCTTGTGATTAATGAATATTACTAGAACATAGATCCTTCCAACGATTTACCACCTCATCGTGGCTGGCAGGTGTTCCTGGGTGTCGGCCTTCGATGTACAGCGGGGGATTCATCCCCTGGCAGAATCTCGCAAGCTGAGAAGGAGTCCGGCGTTTCCATCAGCAAACTTAGCTAAGAGTAAACCAATACCAGGATTTACCACCGTCTTGGTATCAAAGTCGCATGGTGGTAAATCTCCCTCTGATCCACAAGGGCTGCAACTGCCCGTGGTGCTGAAGACCTGAGGCACACTTTGGCCAGGCTGACCTCGGGAATCCATAGAACCATAATGGCTTAACCAGCAAATTTCCAAAAAAGGCCATTTAAGTATCAAGTATATCTTACTAATCTTGAAATCGTTCGCTGTTTCCGATACGTAACATTCACAAAGTCGTCGCCACAAACTGATTCGTTTTTGTGTTTAAAAAAATGCAATGAATCCTCCCAACAGTTTACCGCCTCATCGTGACTGGAAGGCGTTCCCAGGTGTCGGGCTGCGATGTACAGCGAGGATTCATCTCCCTGGCAGAGTCTGTCAAGCTGCGAAGGAGTTCAGTGCTTTTATCAGAAAACCCAGCTACGGGTAAACAGATACCAGGATCAACCACCATCCTGGTATGAAACTAGTCGCATGGTGGCAAATCTCCCTCTCATCCACAAGGACGACAATTGCCTGTGGTGGTGACATGACCTGAGGCAAACTTTGGCCTGGCTAACCTCGGGGCTCCAGTGGAACACAAGGTTAAACCAGCAAAACTCCAAAAAAATAGAGATTGTGCTGGGACCCGCACAACCAGTGAGGACGGGCGGTTCAAGCATCCAAGTAATGAATGTATATCGAAATCAGTATTATTTTAACAAGTTGAGATGAAAATGTAAAAGAAGGTAGGGTAGCTGTAAAGTTGTCAACATTTTAAAAGAAATTCAGGAGATGGAACGAATATGGAAAAACTAACGAGAGAAAAAAGTCTCAAAAAAGGATGATCCACACTACAATCTTTCGGATAAAGGACAAAAATACACCAATAGAATCTCCATGACCCCTTTCTCCCAAACAATCTTCCGTGTATCGTACCCCTTTTTCCTGCCACATTCTGTCCTCAAACTGTCGTCGCTGTGTAAAGGACTAAAATCTCGTTTGTTTTATTGACAAATAACGTGGCAGATGTAAGAAAAAAAATAGCAGTCGTTGTAGAATTCCGGTGATATGAATGAACCCACCTCCGACGTCATCATATCGTTAACGCCCTCCGTCTCTGACGCGCGGAAAACCGGCACTTTACGTGAAGGAATTGTAACCCTCTGAAAAAAACAAGTGACGGCATTTCCTTTCTTCTAATTCTTATGGCCCTCATTAAATCCTTGAAATCCTCAACTAATGTCAGTTATTAATTTCACAACTACTACATGCGCAGTCATTAGACACACATTCCTTTTTTTCCTAATTATTTCTGCAACAATAGAGCAATGATGGAACTCCATTGCCATTAGCACACTTCCAATGAATCTGGTTTTTGAGAATGGCCGACGTTTTTTCAATAATTGAAGAACTAGATAACCTGAAGACTTTGCAGGGTTATATAAGAGGTTTTGAACTACCACTGTAAAAGTGTAAATCGTCACCCAAATATTCTATTTTAGGGATGAAGCGCACAGTGACAACGATGTCACCCAGAACGACCAAGGCGTTGATTTGATCCCGTCCTGAGGTCACGAACTCTCCCATCCCTCCAACATCGTGATTTTGGTACCGTACCGATCTGGTATCAGCTGGCTTCGTTCAATCCACAGGTGACGGCGTCTACTGATGGAGATCTGGGAGTGGCGTAGCACAACTACATCCTCAAGCAGTAGCCGAAACCAAAGATCCGAAGAGTTTCGTGAATGCGAGGAAACGAATCAAATGCAAGTTCTGCTGGAACCTGCGGTGTCGAGTCATGCGAAAAAGTTGCTTTCGTTTCAAACTCGTTTAGTATATAAATTTACGAAAAAAGAACCGACAACGATTCGTTAGAGAAACCACTGTGTCCTGCGCTATGAAATCGGGCGTGTTTAATCGGTTTGGCGTTTAAAAAACTAACTTTGACAGAAAACATAACGAAACGAAGAAATCTGGTCCAGGAACCACAATTTTATCAGTTGAAGGTGAAAATAAAGCTGTCTCTTAATGGCAAAGAGCTATAGATTCCAACATCTTTTATTTGCAATAATATCTTTTACTACAAACCGAAATATGTTGGCGTAAAATGAGAGGCACAATTATGTCTGAACAAGAATGGATTGAAGTCGATGCACGTCATCGCAAATGTCTCAGTGTTAATGCTACACCTACCAAAACTATGTTTGGAAAACCGTCGAACACCCGTTTATTTTAGATTTCACGTTAAATGACTAAAAATTGGACCAAGCGTTGTGCAAAGGAATAACCAGTAACGGTGCAATGCTGACTTCTATTCATAAAGAACAGTAAGATTTATTTGCAGCTCAATATGAGAGCAAAGAAGAGAGGTGCGAACCGGCTATTCCAGAATAATATTCATGGAAAACAGGCGGTGCAGGCGACCTGAGGACCTGTTCCTATTTAATGATTTTTCATTAATCGACAACCTCAGATGAAACACTGATCAGATAGGCTCTTGTGTTGCCTGTCTAACCGCAAAACGCTCTAACCGAATTGGTACACTTGACACAAAAAACTGCTTCGTAGTCCTAATGTGCAAGAGCATGCATTGATCCAGTTTGAAATAAACATGGTGGAAAAGTTAAAGACGGATTAGAGTGGAATGATTACAGTAAAGTGACTTCACTATTCTTCAAGGCAGCTGTTACTAGCATACTGCACTTGGTAATGGAAAACACTTGTACTCCCAGGTACACAGCAGCTGGAAAGGTTGTGGCCGGACGATGATGAACCAACCACCTCCAAACGTAAAAATTGAGGAAGAGCGGAAGAACAGAACGATGATATGGTAGAGAGGTGACTGTATCAATGCACTGACTGTTTTCAGATAAACACAACTTTGAAATAGCTTTGTAGATTATCGAGCTTAGACAACTTTGAATGTTTGCAAAGATTTGTAGTCTCATAATGGCAATGAATACCGTACCTCGTTAGTGGAGAGTATTCGAGCGTTCTTTACGGCCGGTGCCACATCTATCGCAAGGTCTTCGTCTATCACTAGTGTATCTGAATATCGATGGACTAAATACCGAGGAAATTCTCCGTTCCTCTATCTCGTTATAGACGGACATGAGTGGGGTTGGCGGTGTTATTCCTTCATAGAACTTTTCCTTCATTTGTGTTTTCATATAGCAGTTATAGCATTCTTTTCATTTTTCGAAAGAAGTATGCACATGGGAAAAACTATTAAACGATAGAAACCACAAAGTCTTAGAAACAGCATCAGATGACGTTTTAGGACTCATTGCGTCTTCCTTTTTACAGACTACACCTGCAGCGTTGCAACTGAATATGCATCCATTGAGAAATCGCTCAGTACTTTTTTGCGTACTGTGAAGATAATTTGCCATCGTTTTCAAGTTATTTTATGAAAATACGTTGGGGCTTGAGTCAACTAATTTCCATCTACTCAAAGCACACCGAGGCGCGCTACAAAACACTTGGTTCGATCCCGTGCCCCGGGCTCACTAAACCTTTCATCCTTACAAGGACAGTAGATTGGCACCAGACCTATCTGGGATGATAGCAGCACTGACTCGACACATCGATAGGCCACCGTGACTGTATAGGCCAGATATGCATTCAACACCTCCGATAATGCTTAATGATGTCGAATGCTTGGCGCACCTCTCAGGGATTAATCATAACCAAGAGCATTGTCCTTTTTGTCCTATTGTGTATATCGACTACGATCGAGCGTCTAACCTTTCCTAAGTGCTTTTACAGCTCGGAAAGTAATAGCACAAAAAATAGACCCACTTGTCCAATGTCCAGCAGTCATCCTGTATTCTCCATCGGCGGGTAGTGGTGCCATGAATATGGTGGTCGAGCAGCGCGTGTGGATCGAATCCGTGCGACCCTCAGGCTCGGTGGTGTGGATGAACTACAAACAAACACCACACATCAACATTCCAATTTTCCACTATCTCTTTCTCTTCAACAGGATCTCATTGTTTCACACTAACGTTTTCTAAGGTTATTGAAAAAAAGGATTAGAGTTTAAAGGGGTACTGTAAGCAAAACTTTGTGTAAAAATAATTTCGCATGGTTTCTTGTCCCCGATAACATTTTTTATGTAAAGGACAAACAAGCACTACGAAAAACCTCGAATAAAACAACGGCAGAATTAGATAGCTCGACGCGAAGCGCCCGAAGTAGGTTTTTCAACAACTGGCGGGAATTTTTCAACCAACAGAAGAGTAGAGGGCTTGGAAACTGCATCCATTTGTAGGACAGGATTCTCCCTGTCTTAATCGTATGTATAACTTTCATACAACATCCAGTCAACTACAAACATGTTTAGAGTTAAAATTTTCAGTAAACTGAGGGCGAGATTTAAATGCTCGAAATTCCTAGTGCAGGAGCGACAACTACGAAAACCAGTGGTCCTTCGTGAGCACAACGGTGTCCCACTGACGACATACCGTTTGTTTGTTTATCTCTATGGTCGAAATACGGTCATAATTGTAAAAGATGTGGAATCAGAATGCCATGGTTTCTAGAAAATCAGAATTTCATTTTGGTTGAATTAGAAGACTTGCATCTTGCAGGTGAAAAGCTCTATATTATTCAATGGTCTTCATCTCAACTAAGAATGTTTAATGTAGACCTATATATACTGGTTTAAACTTGAAAGCTGTTATTAGATTCATGTGAAATGCATTGCACTCATTACATGTCGGGCGTTATGTTATACTAAAACGCTGCACTTTTTCACCACCCAATAGACCAGGAAAGGTGTTTCACCCCGATTTTCCCTTCGGCGACTGGAAACGACTAACTCCTTCCATTGCTCATTCCGCTTTAGGTCTTGTTTTATTTTCGGTGGTCCTGATGTTAAAAATAATTCCGCATGTTAAACTCACATCCATCAAGAAAACCGGCCGAGGGGGATCGTTCACTCTAGCGACAATGCCATACCGCGAGTGGAATGAACAGATGAAGGCCGTCTCGAATTTCCCACTTTCCTAAAAAAAACTTTCCTAGAAATTATTTTCTAAAGCACACAATTATCATTTCCTCCAACTGAGAATTTTCTTAACAACAAACACCTGGTTCTTGAAGAGCACAGCAGTGTAGCTGAGCGGGGACATCATTGCGATATCGAACGTTACCGTGTCGTTGTCGTATGACCGTATCTAAAAATCGAAATAGATCGATTGCTATGCCTTGCATTGGCAATATATGGGCGTACACTGAATGCCGCATTACAGTTGTCGAGGCAGTTTCGTGGACTCGCATAGCAGGCACCTTCAGGAGGACAGCTGAACAGCACGACACCCTTCTGAATGGTCCGAAACGATTGAACTTCTACACATCTTCACTAACTTTTCTGTCTCTCTATGTTTTCAACTGGCTTCCAGAATGGAGATACTTTTGTCGTAATAGTTCTCTGGGAACCCACAGTAATTATACTTGATATGAAAATTTCAATGCTAATAGTTCCCTCATTTCCAAAACTAAAGTACTCCTATGGCAAGAGCAACAAGGGCGAATAGCACAGTGGTAGTGATGTCCGCTATCACGAGCATGGTGCTAGTTCGATCCCGCTCCGGGTCAACTAAGCCTCTCATCCTTCCGGGGGTACCGGACTTATCTGGGAAAAAATCACTTTCTGCAATCCAATCAGGAACGCTTCAGTCCAGCTGTCTCAGGACTACAGGGAGAATTGCTCGACCAGCTTTCTACGGCTTCCAAGATGAAATGGAAATCCTCAAGCAGCAGCCGAGGCCACACGTAAACACTTGGAAAACCTTCGTGGACGACGGATGCGAGGAAACGAATTGGATGTGGCAAGTGCTGGGATCCGTAGAGTGGACGTGAAGACGGACCAGATAAAATAAAAAACAAATGGCAAGAGCATCACCTTAGAATTCATACTAATACAATGCGAACACTGCGAAGCAACCCACCGACCATATCTCCAAAGTTGGTGGAAAATCCTTCATCAATGCCTACTGTTGGGGAAAGGAAACCCTTAGAAGGTGGATTTCTACAACAACTGGTATTGTTCACTTTACACACGAAAACAATTGAAGTGAAGGGAGGACGGTATAGACTGCTTATTGAAAGCAGACATTTCTTCCACGAGTAAAGAAACACATGTTATAAAAAACAATTTCCCTTTATCAATTAACTGTCGAGCAAGCAGCTCACCCAACACACAGGTTAACGAATTTCCCTGATACGAGGTTTCTTCACTAATTTGCTACAAGAGTATCCCTATTATCGCAAGCTTTCACCGAAGATCCGATCATGAGTGTTAGGAAGATAAGGACTTCGTTCATCGTTGTGCAACGACTTGAACATCGACCAAAGCATGTTCCGATGAGCGAACTTTATCAAAAATATCCTTAAAGTAGTGCAGAAACCAGGATGGATTCCAGAAGGAAACGAGCGACTTGGAGCGCTTTCAAGAAAATGTAGCTGAGAAAATGTGAAACACTCAGCACCGTGGTCATTCCTTCGACTCCACCACTTTTCATCACACAAGGTACATCAAGTTGTCGAAAAACAAGTTGCCCGCATATATAATGAGTCCTGACAGTAACTGATGGAAATCCGTCAGAAACGGAGTTGCAGGAGGGAAGGAGAAGGAGAAGGAGGAGGGGAGGAGGAGGAGGAGGAGGAGGGGAGAGAGTTGGAACGCACAGCAAGGAAAGTAGTAACCGATAGTCAGAATCGAAATCAAGATTAAGAGGATTCTGAACAGCGAAAATGATGCTCTTCGTGTTAATGATACTTGCATAAGGCACTGGGCAATTTTCCCATGTGATAAGGAGGAGTGAAGACATTACTGGTGTCTGCATTGAACACTTTGACGATCTGAAGGAGATTAAGTGATAGGATAATATAATAAAACCATATGCTTACGTCTTTCCCAAAAGGAACACAAGCCGTTGGGATGACTATAGTGGAGAGGAGGAGGATTGGAAACAACATCTGGAAAGGAAACGCTAGCGAATGACATGAAAAGCAAGAAAAGTGAAGATAGAAAACCATGAGTTGATAGTGGGAACATAGAGAACATAACATGAAGCAACAATGGAATCCAACAACGACAAGGACCATTGCAGAACAGAAATGTGAACTAACCGATTGACCTCAACCTGGGGCCGGAGTTCCCGCGCTAATGGTGTAGATCACAACGACGATCTGAGCATCGTAATCGCCAACGATTCGCGGACCTACGTGTACAGGATTTCGGGACTACTAGTGCGCCCTTTCTCTGGAAAAGAATGATTTCATTTTTGATGACATAGGGAGCGCACGCGTGACTCTATCTATGACTTGTGCTTTGTCGTCAAAATGAAGGAAGATCGTTGTGTTTTCAGTGAATAGATCGATCACTACCATCTTCATGTGGCGATCTTAATTATAAAAGGCCAAGGATCTTTAGAGAACAGCTATTCCTTTGCACCTAAGAATTCTCTTACCTAATCTTCAAATATTCGATGCTTCCGAATCTTCAAATGATCAAAAACCAATGTTAACAAGCTGTGCTTACTCATCCAGATAGAGTAGTTCCAATGTGAAATGTTCCGCTCTCTACTTATCGAGTTCCGGAGTAACAACTCTGCTACAGTTCTTTTCTTCATCTCTCCTTTCTCTATGTTTCCCTTTTTGTTCACCAAACAGACAAGTCGAAATCTAGCCGCTACAGACCAAACAAATTGATTCTTACCCTAAAAGCTCTAACGCTCTCGGCGTTGACTAATCCCTAAGGCATCCGCCATGCATTCGAATTGATTAAGCATCGTTGGAGGTGATTGAACGCATATATGGCCTTTACAATAACTCGCAAAGGCCTACCGATGTATCGAGCCAGTGCTGCTCTCCTCCGAGGCAAGTCTAGTATCATTTTGCCGACCCCAGATGGATGAAAAGGTTGGTGAGCCCAATGTGCAGGGATCGATGCCACATGTATTGCAGTGCTCCCTCGACCACAGCGCCACATGCGCCCTTGATTCGTACTAATATATGTAAAACGGCTTAAACAATTGAATACGTCTTCTAGGTTTTGTTGTTTTTTAAACCGCATTTCTACTTTGCAACAATGTTCAGAGGACAAAACAATTGATGAATACGATTAGGTCACCGATGCTTACGATTCCCGTAAGGCGCCATATTAATTGAAAGCTGAAATGGTGGCATAGTCCGTGTATGTTAAATGGTGTGAGACACACTCATCTGTTTTTTTAAGGCAGGTCAACATCAGCCGTGTACGATTGTATATTCTATGTGAACCTTACTATTGTTGCCTTTATAAATACGATAATTATTTCATGTAGTATTTCGGTGCCTGGCTGGCATTTCTAGGTAGCGAACTGACACTTTGCTTAGGATTCGCCCCAGTAGGATCTACCAAGCCCCTTCTTTCGGTAGTATAAGTAGTGTCAGGAATCAATAACTAAGGCTTGCAATTGATTGCCTCTAGGACTAGAAATATAGGGGCTAAAAAAATGACTGAAGCGTTTACAACTTCATGAAACCAGTATTAAGGAATCGCAAAGGATTTAAGAGGGACCACACCGATAAATTTAAATCCTTTGACAGCAAAGTGTTTTCTTGGGAGCCTTCGTTATCATGTCCTTGGAACGTATTTACCCATAAAAAAAGGTAAACCTCTCGCGTTGATTAATTCCTGAGGGGTGCGCGTGCACACTACTTCATTGAACATCGTTGGAGGTGATTGAATGCATGTCTGGCCTTTACGATGACACGCGGTGGCCTACCGATGTATCGAGCCAGTGGTTCCATCCTCTCATATAAGTATGGTACCAATCTGCCGACCTCGGAGGGATGGAAGGCTTGGTGAGCCTTGAGCACGGGGATCAATCCCAAGTGTATTGCAGGGCACCTCCAATCAATGGGCTACACGCGCCGTACGTGCGCTCATATATCACTTGTAGTATCACCTGTAGTCTCGTTGATCGTCGAGTGACTCGAGCGGGCGTCAGCAAATCTTCCATTTTTCCCTGTCGTGTGCAAGAGTAGCCCGGTGGGTTCTGCTCGCTCTTGGGACACGTCGAGCATCATATCTTTCTTCAAGGCTTTTTGTGAAGAACTCTGACCATCGGGTCGGTGGTCTTCCTGCAGTACGTTTGAAATTCCGAGGAATCCAGTCATAAACGGCTCTCGCCCATCGGTTGTCATTCATACGCATGACGTGTCCGGTTCACCTTTTCTTCGACTGTTTGGCGTACAGAATGGCATCTTTGATTTTTGATCGTTGACGCAGATCGGAGCTTCGGATCCCATCCCTTACTTGTGTGCAACTGGATGCTCCTAGCATCGTCCTTTCGACTGCGCATTCGATAACGCTGAATGACCTCTAATCCTGCTTAAGCAGCAATCAGGTTTCTGACGCATACGTTAGGGCAGAAAGCACCGTTGAGTCGAAAAGGTGGGCACGGAGTCGGATGTTCTTTGTTCTCTTCACTATATCCTCGATGCTCTTGAAAGCTCCCCAAGCCGCTCGTTTTCTTCTGCTCAGCTCTGGAGCTAGGTCGTTCATCATATTGATTTCCCGACCTAGATAGATATAACTGAAGCATTCGGAGATATTCGGTCTGTTGAGCGTGAATGGGGCATACGAAACCAATCCGTTCTTCATGAACATCGTTTCTGCGAGATTTAGTCGAAGGCCAATCTTAACACAGGCTTTATCAAAGTCGTCAAGGATACGTTCCGCTTGGCTAATGTTTGGTGTTATAAGGACGATGTTATCAGCAAAGCGAAGATGATGTAATTGCCGACCATCGATTTTCACTCCCATATTACCCCATTCCAATGTTCGCATGGCGTTCTTGAGAGTGGCGGTAAATAATTTTGGGGAGATTGTGTCGCCTTGCTTAACCCCTCTTTTGACGTCAATGTTAATATCGTTGTAGATTGGTGATGCCTTGGTTGTGAAATTTTTGTAGAGCCCACGAAGAATCTTTTTGTACTGAGTAAAGACTCCTTAACTATCAAGGGCCTCCAAGACTGCTTTTATCTGAACCGACTCAAAGACCTTCTGTAAATCGATGAAAGGGAGACAGAGCGGTCTTTTGTACTCTCGCGACACTTCAATGAGCCGTGTAACCGTGTGGATGTGGTCCATCGTACTAAATCCATCTCGAAAACCTGCTTGCTCACATGGCTATGCTTCGTTTAGTGTTCTGTCAATCCTGTTTAGGATAACTCGAGTGAAAAGTTTGTAGACAACAGACTGTAAGCAGATTGAGCGATAGTTGCCGATATCGTGTAGGTCACCCTTCTTAAACAACATTGTCTTGCTGGTCTTCCACTGAGTAGGAACCTTGCATACAGACAGGTAACGTGTGAAGAGCCGAGCCAGTGTGTTTACGAAGGCTGGAGGAAGGCTCTTCAGGTGTTCTGGTCTTTTCATGTCCGGGCCTGGTGCTGTTCGATTTTTCACCGACGAAATGGCATGCCGGATTTCGGAAGGGAGAACCAGTAGTACAACATATCCATCCTCCCTTATTTCATATGACCGAAGACGGACGTGGCTATCGAAGAGATTTGAGTAGTATCCGTGAATGATTTTCTCTATTAGTTTTCCGGACGCTGTAACTGTTCCGTCTGGGAGCCGGAGTGCAATCATTTTGGTCTTGTAATTGACGAAGCTTCGGTGGGCTTTGCCAATGCTTTTCCCAGCCTCTTCAGCTTCGACCATTACTGCTGCTCTTCTCTCTCTAAGATCTTCTTCTATCGCCTCTCTGCATTGTTTTGCATGTTCGGACGTTAGTTCGCGGTTTCCTGCAGCTCGTGCGATTCCATGCTGGCGTATCAGCTCGAGTGTTCCTGGAGACAAACGTCTCCTGGTGACTTTCGAACTCTGACCTTTCATAGCGCTGGAGCGAAGATGTTGAATGAGCCGATCGCATTCCTCGTCTATGTTATCGACAACGGCATTTTCCCAACAGCCGACTAATGAATTGAATAAGTCCCAGTTTCGTAGCTCTAGGACTTCGGTTTTGGAATTTAGCGGTTTTTTCTCCTTTCCTAGAGAAATAGGATCTTGAACAAAAGAGACGATTGTTTGATCCTGTGTAGAATTTTGGGACAACAGTGACATCGGTTAGGAAAAACCTATTTACTATGATGTGATCTATTTTGTTATTATACTCTCCGTTGGGAAATTCCCACGTCCAGCGTTGAGAGTAGGGCTGCTGGGATTGCAAGTTACAATGAATGGTCTTGGTCGTCATGATAAACTCAGACAGCCGCTCACCCTGTTCATTCTATTCTAATCCGTGGATTCCAGTGTGAAATTCTTCAGACGTTCTTCCTGGTCCAATTTTGGCGTTGAAATCTCCAATGATGACCTTGAAGAATGCGTGGCCTTCTCTGTAAAACTCCAAGTCCATATAGAACGCTTCGACTTCTTCTTCGTCATAGTTTGATGTCGGCGCGTAAACGACGAATATTGTCAAAGCCGGAATTGATCCACATCTTTTTAATCGTAAACGTCCGATCCGGATTGTAAGTTGTTCGAATGAATCGATATTCATGTACAAACTCGCGTTGACGAGAATGTCGACGCCGCCGACTCCTCTACTGTCGCATGTTCCGAGGAGCAGTTCTTCTCCGGTGTCATAGACGGCGTTGAAAGGCTGGCTTCTTCTCATCTCGGCCAGGCCGATGACGTTGTACTTTACCTTTCTTGCTTGCATGAGCAAGTCTTCGGATTTCGAGGACTCGGATGCAAGTGTACGTGCATTGTAGGTACAGATCGTCACCATAGTTCTGTGAAATCCAAGCAGTTTCCATTGACCTTGAGATTTTAGCAGCCTCTCCGTACTCGTCCTACCCAACGCTGCGAAATTGGAGGCTCTTTCGGGGTCAGGGAAATGAGTCCCGTTTTGTTTTCACTGTGTTTAGCATTTTGATACCCACACTGGGCTCTGAACGTGGAGTTGGGTATACTCACGGGT